CCACACGGTGAAAGGCTTCTTGCGAGGTGGCATCAGCACCGAGTATGAAGAGATGCTTTCGTCGTGGATTCTCGACGAAGATTGCTTTGGGAAGAACTTTCAGCCTGGTCGCAAGAGATTCACGTGCTGGTGGAACTGCCAGAAGTTGCAGTTGAACCACCGAAGAAGAAGCAAAGATTGGAGGGAAACCGGATTGCATTTGCAGGACCATTGCATCAGGATGAGTGCGCCGTTCCGTTTGATACAATAGACGCTTTTCGACAGATCAAGGAAGGCCTATCAAGAAAAGAGGTCATCGGCCACCCATTGTTCCTGTTGTACGGTCCTCGTCAATTTGGAAAAACAACAATTGCGTATCGCATCATGGACTGGATTGCCAGTGATTCCAGTGTTGCGGATGTCAAGTGCGTCTTTTTTGAAATGCATGAATCGGATGTGGCTGCAGAGGGAACGTTCTGGAATCGATTGGGGAGGTGCATTGATAATCGAAATGCGGGCTGCGATTACGATTCGTTTATGCAGTTGGTGGAGGATTGCGCGCTTCAAGACCGGAAGCAGTTGTGCCTGATTGTGGATGGAATGAATCATCTCTTTTCCTACAAAGAGTTGGCTATCAAGTTCCTGCTGGCACTTCGAAAGTGGAAAGCAGCACCGTATTTCCGTGGTTTTCTTGGGATCGGAAGTCATGAATTGGTGCACCATCACAAAATCTTTCGTGGGGACGACAAGACAAGCCCTTTCAACGTTGGTAACATGATCAAGATGGCGCCATTTTCAGTGGAACAAATGAGTGCGTTTTTCAAGCTTATTGAGCCACGCTATTCGTTTCCTCAGTCGCTTCAATGTGGAATTATGAAGTATTCCAGTGGAGCGCCCGGTGTATTTGGATCATTGATTCGATTTACGGTTGACAACGACAAGTGGACTCTGGAGTGGCATGAATGGGAACCGTGGTTCCAAGTGGGTGCATTTTCCGGGTATTTGACGCAGTACAACAACACCTATCACCGCATACAAGGCGACCTGCGCAGCTTGACTGAGTTGGAGTGGGAGGCACTCAAATACATACTTGAAGACAATGGGAGTTTGACGGCTAGCACTGTCGAGGGGTACTGCGGCATTGCAGTCAGGGGCGATCAGCAAAGGCGACTCGTTGACCCATTACTGAGAATGGGGATTGTGGTCCAAGGACGCAGTGGTGGATTGGCCATTGTATCTGAGATGATGTGTCGAGTTTGTGTCGAAGCCCTCCCAGAGCGGAAAATTCATCAAGCTGCTAATACCGATGACCCCGTGCTGCTCTTGTCTCTTGCGCTTGGACAAGTGTACCCCAAAACCATTTCGAATCATCTTGTGAGGAATCGACAAGCACCGAGTGAGTCGGCATTTCATCACGAGCTGTATTCGACAATTCGGGATATCTTGAAGAAGGGAGCTCTGACGAGGGGTATTTATGCTGAAGTAAAAACTCCAGGCAGCCGAAGGAGAGCCGATATTCTCATCGCCAATGGGGTCCGAGTCGCGTACGAGCTGAAGTCAAATCAATTACGGGAATCCGAGATCGAAGCCGCCGCAAAACAAGCAGATGAGTACAGACAACAGTTCAACGTCGACCGGATGGTCGTTGTCAACTTCGTTTCCATGGGACACACGTTGGACGAAGTGTATCGATTCACGCGGTTTCCGAGGGTTCAGATCGTTCATGCTCGGTTTGCTGATTCCTGTGATCAATTTTCTCTTCAATACATGTACTTGGGAGAGACAAACGAAGTCACGAGATGCTCCGTTAAGTGCCTAGCTCGGAATAATAGTTAAGTCGGAGTTCCGAGGCTCAAAACCGAGTTCCGAACCGGTTCCAAAATGATGCCGTACTTACTAGAGCTGCTGTGGTGCTTTAATTTAATAGTGAATTGCAATTATTTGATGAGCTGTGGGAACCCGGGTTCCAAAAATTTCGGAACCAAATTTTAATAACTAGAAGGGCTGTGGTTACATTGACATCTTCCGTTGGTGCTCGGGTTCCGAGTTCCTATACTTTTGTATATAAATATTTTAAAATTTATAGAGGGGGGGTAGGGGGTAGGAGAGAAAGAAGATATAGAGAGACAGTGTATCGTTTTTTTTGTGGAACTTGGGAACTCAGTCCCGCATGGTGTATAAAACCTACCATGATCATAATTGTTGATGTTACGTCAGTTCGGTGACATGGAACCGGTTCAGATCATGTTTAGGAACTTTGCTCACTACTGAATTTTAATAACTACAGTCACTCTGGTGGTTCCTCGTTCAAAGTGACTTGATCATACAATGTATGGGATACGGTTTAAGTTTCGGAACTTCAGAACTACTGGAATTAGATAACTACACCTGCTCTAGTGACGCATTTGTTAAAGTGACAATTCTGACAATGCCTGAGAATTCACATAAGGATAACGCTGACTCGCGTTTTCTTTCTATTAGCGTACGCTAGTGGACGGGACTGCATTGATTATGTTACATCGTCCGCTCAACCTGTGCATTTCTGACAAAAATATTCCTCAATATATAGAAACTAAAAATTAGTGAGTTCATCTTGAGCGATAAAAAATAAATATATAGAAATAACAATGTGCAAGTACATCTTCCCAGAAGACCACGCAAAGGCGAGCCAACAGTGCGGCTCAAAAGGCGATTGGTGCCGACACCACGCGAAGTATCAGCCAGTAGTTGCTGAACCAGTGATTGCTAAACTAATAGTTGCTGAACCAGTGATTGCTGAACTAGTAGCTGCTGAATCTGTAGCTGTTGTGCCTGCAGTTGCTGAACCAACGATGACCAAGTCTATTGAAGAAATTTATGGTGAGCATTGCATTCAGCACATCAAATCTGTTGATAAATACGATGAACTCAAGTTGGGAGATTCGCGCGTGTTGTCACCAAGTAATTGGATCAAGTCGAAGATGCACGTAGTTGGGGATTCCATCAACTACAAGCACAGTGATGATGGCACACCTGACTTTGGCAACGACGGATACACGTACCTTTTGCAATATCAATTTAATGAACTGGATGAATCGCAGATGCTTGATAATTTCTTCTTTAAGTCCAATGAAGACCGTGAATCATTTGAACAAGCAAACGTTGAATGCGGTGTGGAATACTTCCTTGCAACTCAATCCTACGATGAGCGATTGTATCAATTGTGCATGATGATTCGAGGCGATTTGTTCTCCAACGACCAAAACGTGTGGAATCTCGCTGGATTCTTCGCTCGTCAACCTCATTCTGATTGGCATTTAGTGCGCAAGACCTATCTCTGTGTGCTCAAACAAAAAGTAGAGCGTTTCAACAAGGAGTATGCTACCAAAGAATTTGATGGTTGGTTTGATTCCAAGTATAATCCATCACTGAACGAAGGCAAACTGAAAGGGATTGCTGCTGGTTGTGATTCTGCTGCATACAAGCAATAGAAGGATGACTGTGAAGTCAAGGAGCCAGGGAAAGCAGCTACTTCGAAGACGTTTGAGCTTTCTACACCTGATCAAGATTTCGAATTGACATTCAAGTCTGAGCGGAAGCTGGGCAACACTAACTCAGCTGGTGGAGATTAACTGGTCGAACAATTAATGACATGCGTTCAGCCCATGGTGATACGTCATTTGAGAACGATGAGCTTGAATATTGGGCGGAGAAGTATCTAGTGATCGAGAACAAGCCCAATCGTGACTTTGATTTAAATCAATGTGGTAGCTCAGTGCTACTATAGTAGTACTACGCATGAGAAAAGTGC